TCTTGTATACTTTATTTGTTTTCCTTCATTTTTATTCCCAAATTACTAATCTACTTAAGTATTAATGTGTCCTTTCACTATTACTAATTATTTTAGTTTCCATAATTGTCTTATTTCTAATGGTACTGAATTTAATCCAACTCATCTTAAGTTTTCTGTTAAGTTTGTTGAATATAAGTTGGCCTGTGAAACAAAATCGCTGGAAACAGTCGTGATGTTTTTCGTTGTAAATGTTTAGAGTACCTCACCTTCCCTCGGTGTCGGGTGTGTACGAGGAGTGTAGTCGCAGAAATCACTTTTTTGCTGAATTTTAAGAGGCCCGTGATTTATCAGTTGTTGGCTTTGTCTCTAAGTAACATGTACGTATTTAAAAATTCATTCTTGTATACCTTATTTGTTTTCCTTCATTTTTTATTCCCAAATTACTAATCTACTTAAGTATTAATCTGTTCTTTCATTATTACTAATTATTTTAGTTTCCATAACTGTCTCATGGTACTGAATATAATCAAACAGATCTTAAGTTTTCTATTAAGTTTGTTGAATATAAGTTGGCCTGTGAACAATGTCGCTGGAAACAGTCGTGATGTTTTTCGATGTAAATGGTCAGAGTACCTCACCTTCCCTCGGTGTCGGGTGTGTATGGGGAGTGTAGTCGCAGAAATCACTTTTTGTTGAATCTTAATTAAGAAGCACGTGTTTTATCAGTTGCTGGGCTTGTCTCTAAGAACCATGTACGTATTTAAAAATTCATTCTTGTATACCTTATTTGTTTTCCTTCATTTTTTATTCCCAAATTACTAATCTACTTAAGTATTAATGTGTCCTTTCACTATTACTAATTATTTTAGTTTCCATAATTGTCTTATTTCTAATGGTACTGAATTTAATCCAACTCATCTTAAGTTTTCTGTTAAGTTTGTTGAATATAAGTTGGCCTGTGAACAAAATCGCTGGAAACAGTCGTGATGTTTTTCGTTGTAAATGTTTAGAGTACCTCACCTTCCCTCGGTGTCGGGTGTGTACGAGGAGTGTAGTCGCAGAAATCACTTTTTTGCTGAATTTTAAGAGGCCCGTGATTTATCAGTTGTTGGCTTTGTCTCTAAGTAACATGTACGTATTTAAAAATTCATTCTTGTATACCTTATTTGTTTTCCTTCATTTTTTATTCCCAAATTACTAATCTACTTAAGTATTAATGTGTCCTTTCACTATTACTAATTATTTTAGTTTCCATAATTGTCTTATTTCTAATGGTACTGAATTTAATCCAACTCATCTTAAGTTTTCTGTTGTTTGTTGAATATAAGTTGGCCTGTGAACAAAATCGCTGGAAACAGTCGTGATGTTTTCGTTGTAAATGTTTAGAGTACCTCACCTTCCCTCGGTGTCGGGTGTGTACGAGGAGTGTAGTCGCAGAAATCACTTTTTTTTTGCTGAATTTTTAAGAGGCCCGTGATTTATCAGTTGTTGGCTTTGTTCTAAGTAACATGTACGTATTTAAAAATTCATTCTTGTATACCTTATTTGTTTTCCTTCATTTTTTATTCCCAAATTACTAATCTACTTAAGTATTAATGTGTCCTTTCACTATTACTAATTATTTTAGTTTCCATAATTGTCTTATTTCTAATGGTACTGAATTTAATCCAACTCATCTTAAGTTTTCTGTTAAGTTTGTTGAATATAAGTTGGCCTGTGATCAAAACGCCTGGTCACAGCCGTGAAATTTTGTTCTCGATGTAAACGGTCAGACTAACACCTTCCCCCCGTCGGATTTGAATGTGGGGAACTTTTCCCTTCTCTTCCCTTTTGTTTTATTTGTTTGCTGCTACTATTTATTTTATCTAAGAGGAGCGAATTTAATGTTCCCCCAAGTTTGTTAGCATTTCAGTAAGAGGTATCAGGACTTAAGTTAAAACTTAAAACCTAATTAAAAAAAAAAAAAAAAAATCAAAAAAGAAGTAAGTAGTCCAATCGAAATTTCGGTAACTAAACCGACTACCCCACTCCGAGTTCCGAGTGCGGCGGCTCATTATCAAGCCAGTAGGACGAAAAAGAAGACCTTACAAAGGGCGAAGGAAATCTCTGAGTCATCGTCCAGTTGACGAGAGATGGTGTGTCTTCATAAACCACCGTAGAGAAGGCAACAGGAGCCCCACTCCACTCTCAATCCCAAGACTCATAGTTAACATCTCTAGTCAGATAATGCGGAACCTAACGGCGTTAAGGGGGCCATATCTGCGGGAATTAGTTCCTCGCTCGGTAAGGGCCGACATGCCTGGCAGTCATCCAGCGACTGCTAGAATAAACAGCGTAAAGGGGATAAAAGTCATTGGAACCTATCCCTCGCCCGAAAAGGAAGACATGAGCGAGAGATGTCACTGGACCTTTATTCTGCGACTGCTCGCATCAAACACAAAACAACCCTCGGGAACGTCTGGGCATTGAACAACTGCAGCCAGTTTGATAATATTAAACAAAGTCTCATCAACATTCATTAATAATTAACATTCATTAATTATTAACATTCTAGGTGTATGCGAAACCAAATGGCCAAACAACGGTGACTTTGTCAGCGACAAACAGGATAATTTATGCAGACGGTGAGAAGAACGACAAAAGAGTAGGACTAATACTAGATAGTGAACTTATGAAATGCGTTCTAGAATACCACCAACTTTCGTAAAGAATTCTGGTAGTGAAGCTGAAAAGGGAAGCCTTTCAACGTGGCTATTATAGTTGTGTACCCACCGGCGGCACAAAGCAAGGAAGAGGACATCAAATCGTTCTACTCCATACTGGACAGTGCCAGGGTTCTATGCAAATCACAGGAAGTCGTCATTATCATGGGAGACCTAAACGCCAAAATAGGCAAAGAAATGGCTGGGGATATAGCAGGAAGATACGGATTAGTAACCCGCAACAAACGCGGAGAAAAATGGATCCAATGGTGCACAGCCAATGACCAAGCAATAGCCAACACATGGTTCCAAGAACATCCGAGACTACTATGGGCATGGAGGAGCCCAGGAGGAGAAACTAAAATCTAAATTGATTATATAACTATCAACAAAAGATTTAGGAATGCAATGATTCACTGTAAAACATACTCAAGTGCCGACTGCGGAAGCGATCATCGCCCTCTTATATGTAAACTAAGAGTGAAAAATATATAGACAATGTGAAAAGATACGAGACACGCAATAGAAACTGAAAATGGGACGCACTAAGAGACGCTTTAGTGACACGAGTAAACGATATCATACCAAAGGAGAATGGACGAAGAAGAAACGAATAGAAGACTAATGAGATTCTCGACATGATAGAAAGAAGACAGAAAACTCGCCAAGATACGGAACAGAATAAAGAAAATTTCACAATGAAATAAGGACTAAATGCATGCAAGCTAAAGAAGAGTGGCTAAACTAACAGGGCAAAAGGCATGCTCGCAACAGGCTGCCTAAAATCAAGGGATGGAACGCTCAAATTAGAGAAGGAAAAAATTCTTCAACGCTGGAGCGAGTGTACTGGAGAACTCTTTCACGACGTAAGGGAACAACCAACAATTCTGAAAACCGAAGTAAAAGCCGCACTGGCCAAATTGAACAGAAACAAGGCGACAGGGCCAGACGGAATTGTAACGGAAATGCTGACAGCCTTAGATGACTTTGGCATAGACAAGATCACTGAAATAACAAATGAAATCTACGACAGTGTGGATATACCGGAAGACCTCAGCAGATCTATCTTCGTAGCTATACCTAAGAAAACAGGCGCAAACGAATGCGAACTCCACCGAACAATAAGCCTAATCAGCCACGCAACAAAACTCCTCATCCGAATTCTAATGAACAGAGTGCGCACCAGAATCAGTCCAGAGATAGGAGAAGAACAGTTCGGGTTCGTTAAAGACACCGGAGAAGGAACGCAATATTCATGCTCAGAATGTTATCAGACAGAGCGATGTAGATGCAGAAGGACGTTTCATATATGTTTCATATACTGCGCAAAGACTTTCACTAGGTAGTTTATGCGTTGTTTTACTCTGTAACATTTGCTTTCAATCTGTCCTGTGATTATGCCAATCATTTTCCAAACTCTCTTTTCTCATTTTGTGCCATAAATATTTCATCTTTCTCTTTCTGATGTTTGGCATAATTGTCTTTTCTATTTTCATTTTATATAAAGCTTTGTCATTGCTCACATGCTTACTCCATATATATCAGTATCATTCTTTCACTAGAAGATAATGTAACTGTATTCTTTAGTTTGTTGAATTAAAATATGTTGCTGCTATCCAAATAAGTTTGAGAACTGATTAAAATAAAACTGAACCACACAGGAACTCCATATATTTATTAGGTATTGGCAGAAGACGTTATACCCTTCTGTCTTCCCTTCTTTCTTTCATTCATTCACTTTCTCACTGAAACCAAGTAGCGTCTCAGATACCTTGTAGCGTGTACCTTTAGGACGTGGGTAATCGTGGTTCTCTACAATTTCTTTTCCTTTGCAGCTCTTATCCTTCCTAATCTTGGCTCTGCCAACTATTTACACAATCACATTAGGTAGGTGATTTACTGTATTCGTCTGTTCCTCTTGCCGTCAATATGTCCTGTGAGTGTTAAGTTGTTTATGTGACCTAGATATTTCATCTCTCTCTTCCGGATGTTTGGTATCCTTTCTGTTCCCATTTTCTCTAAATCTTTGTCGTTGCTCACATGTTCGATACAGCTCGTTAGAATATTAACATCTGCCCTGTTTATTAGTTACTTGGTATTTTTTAGCTGACCACATTGATCACTATGTTCTGAAATGCATTATTTTATTATGAAACTTTTCCTTTCCTTTTTTTTTTTTTTAATGATGAGTACCTACTTTTCCAGCCGTTGCAGTGAAATCACTGACACACTGACAGCCTCGCTTACAATATACAAGCGTTCGTCTCGATTTCAGAAACAAATTTGCAATGACATTTCGTAACTTCACTTTTTCAGATCTTCGCCATGGCTCAAAACCGCACCTACCTCTCAGAAACCAATAAAGGGTTGCTGGCTTATTACATGTCCCTGCCGCAAGAGAAAGACACGATAATGTGTGAATATATCTGGGTTGATATTGATGGAGACGGTTTGCGGAGCAAATGTCGAACTCTGAATTACATTCCCCAAACGGCCAGTGGTAAGTATCGTGGTATTCCATTAGTAAGAAGGAAGTCCCACTTAGCTTTTTTTCCAACAACTGCTACTCTGTGGAATCGACTCCCGATAGGATGCTTTCCTGATTGCTACAATCTTAACAGCTTCAAGTCTAGAGTTAACCGTTATCTTTCCTACATATTCTCATAAACTGCACTTCTTACCTGCTCTTCTGACGCTTATACATCTTTCAGTTACCCTCTACCGTGTGTGGTTCTTGGTCCTTGTATCGGGCGAATATTAATAAAAAACGATATTGTGTGTCAATCTGTAAGAAGTATTGAAGAAGTTTTGTGATGAAGTGTTGTAACTTTTTTATATTGGTTCTTTCAGACGAGTTTCTTCATCTTTATTTTCTTCATCCAAACAATAGAACGGCATAATGGATATCAGAACAAATCGTAATGATAACACCATCCTAGCTAATAATCATACATAGCAGTTAATACATTTGTGGTATACTAACATACGATAATGTTCAATTCAAAAGCATTGGATGATAAGAATAAATCTCCACAACGAACTCTAAAATCCATGGAAGAAAGCTAATGTTATATGTGTGGTGGGATCGTCAAGGCATTAGCCATTTAGAGTTGAGGACCAGGTATAAATTGACATTTGAAATTCGCTATGCAGTGCTTGTCCCAATGAAAGATTTCCCATTGAAAGAAGATGTCACCCCTGCAATTGCTTGAAAGAAAACGCACCCAGTCACTACTTACAGTGCCGACCACTTAAGCGTGTATCACCGTTTTAATTTTTTTATTTATTATTATTTTTTGCATAAATCACAATCACAACAATTACAGCTTCATTAAGTTTGTCTTCGTAATTCACCCCGAGGATGATATCAGAGGAGATCTAAAGTTCTTGGGTTAACAAAAACTACGACGCCTTCCTTGATGAAATTCATCTTAACCTCAAGAAGATAGAGGACTAGAAAGATTATTATAAAAATAAATATACATAATAAATCTATATTATTAAATGAAACATGTATATTTCCTATATATATATATATATATATATATATATATATATATATATATATATATATATATATTGTATATTTAGGCAGCAATTATTCAGTGATGCATGTTTCATTAAATAATATAGACAAGTTTAGTCTATTTATTTTAAGTTCCTTTCATATTGTCTGATTTTAATAACATTATCAATGAAGGACGAAAGGAAATCACCATATTGATACATGTTTAAATCCAATCTAAGCTTTCGGCTTACATAAGCCATTATCAAAGATGACAATTACTTTTCACTATATCAACCAATACACTGAACAACAATGATAGTCTGTTTTTGTTGCATGAAAAATTTCGAATCAACGACTAATTCGTGTATACGAGACGCGGAAGCGAAAATCGCGTCGCAGCTCGTGACGTCACACATGACCATGCGAGAGTGAAAACGAGAAGTATTAAGTAGTTTATTTTGTTCAGGTTAGGTTTGAACTGGGTTATGTATATAGCTTCAAGAATTTTTAGTTTTTCTTTATTGTTTTCATGTTTAAGTATATATTGTATAGTTGTGTTTTCAACAAGGATTTTCCGGAATTCTGTACGAGGCCAGGCATATTGTTTTAAATGCCTAAAAATGTTACTTATCAATCAAATGTAGCGTCAAGCGTCGTGAAAGCGAGTTTGTGGTGTGACCAACATAAATATTATTTAATCCATTGGAGATACAATCTCCCAAAGGGCACATGAATTTCTAAACTATTGGTTTTTTGCATTCAAACACTGATCTACAAATTTTAATAATTTTTATTTATTTGAATATTATTTTTTCTTTCAAATTGAAAGAAATGAATTGCAAAGATACTTTACGAACAACTTCATACAAAATGTTTTGTGTATCTTTTTTTACAGTACAACTAAATGAATTGCGTTAATATATGATAAACGGAAAATGCGTCTATATGCGTGACATCTATATGACAGGTCTACATTGTTTTCCCTGTGTGTATGAATTGTAGTTGTCGACCTTATGAGCGAGCGTCAAGGGAATGCTAGTTCTATAGTTTCCGCATGTAAACTAGCGAAATGTTGTCATTATGTCTAAACATAATATTTGTAATATTGTATAGTCGAGTAAATATGTGACAGATGTGAGTAATTATGAGAATTTCAGTTTCGTTTGTGTGACAGACGATCGAACAAACTGGTCAAAAGATGACTGAAAGACTAGTTAGCCAACAAGAATTGATAAAATAGTAGACTCCGATGAATATAAAATTTAGATTTATTATCTTAAGTTTATTGGTTAATACATATTTTTAAATATTGCATTAACAGAAGAAAAATATTGTTGAGCATATTCTGATGTTGAGTCACCAAAATTTCATCCTAAGATATATTACCGTCTGCCAATTCAAAGAATACCAAGCGTCTCATACGACGTTGCTGGTTGGTTAATGGATAGAAAAATTCAAATAATTGGAGTCTGTCAATGCACAAAAATTCAGTTACTTTCTGTGAGACGGTTTTGTGCAAGAAATGAATTTTCTGTGACAGTACTTAATGCCATTAGCATTTTTCTACAATTCTATCTAATGAATATCATATATATATATATATATATATATATATATATATATATATATATATATATATATATATATATATATATATATATATATATATATATAGAACCAAACAGCACTATCAAATCATTATTGGTTTTTGTTGGAGAGTGGCCTAACACCACAAATAAAGTGGAGAATAATATCAAGAGCCAGAACTCCCAAAAACTTCAGAGACAGATGCAACTTATGTTTGAAGGAGAAAATCTTCATAATCAAACATAAAGATCCAGACATACTACTAAATAGACACAATGAACTAGTCTTTAAATGCCGGCACAAAAACAACCTAAACCTAAGCAAGTACATTGAAAAATAATCATATAGGAACAGCAATTTTGAATGTTTTATATTCCCTTTGTTTTTATAAATATTACTATGCACACGTGAACGCTAACACATGACTATATGTATACAACTATGATAATGTATTTGCACACTGAGACACCTGTTGATATGTACATGTATATGTTTTATACGGAAAAAGAAGCATACCAGTTTTTTTTCTGTTTTTTTGTGAGTGTGGAGATGTACAATTAGATAGGTACTTATATGTTTTGCCATAAATATGAAAGATCGGGTAATATTATATGTGTAAAGATATAAATAATGTAATTAAATACTGAGATAGTCTTCGAACGCAGGCATAAGTGGATGCACGGGTGGACATGAGGATAGGGACAAATACGAGTGTAGATATATGTAAGTGCAAATTAACGCATATGTGGGTATGTAGATATGCTGCAGATTGCGTATGCATATGCATGTATGTGTGTATGTATATGTATGTGTGTATGTATGTATGCATATATGTGTGTGTGTATGTATGCATATATGTGTGTGTGTATGTATGTGTATATGTGTATACATATAGGTGTGTAAATATATATATGTGCGTATGAATATATATGGATATGCAGATGTCCTTGTGTGTATATGTATATATGTAAGTATAAGTATATATGGAGATAGGTATGGAGACATGTGGATGTGCGTTTTCTCTGCAGGTGTATATGTGTAAAGATGGAAATATACATATGGTCGTTTCGTGTGAATGTGTGTGTAGGTGTATATAGGAACTCATAGGCATATAAGAAGATATAGGTATGTGGTTACAAATAGGGATTTAAGACATGTGTAGATAAATTGTAAAAGGACCTAATCTTCTGCTAGTGACATCTTTTCCAAATATCTCCTCTAATATTTTCTATTTGGAAGTGAATTTTAAATAGAACGAAGGGAAAGTTTAGATTGGTATTTTAATTGAGATCGAAAGATACTACCCTAGTGTGGAGAATAAAATTATTTAAATGAGAATAACCGTTGATAATTGGGTACATAAAAACAATCACGAGTTTACTTAATGAACAAAAATCAAAAACAATCACGAGTTTACTTAATGAACAAAAATCAAACGAATAGATGTCAACCTAACAAGCTATAAGATAAAAGTATTAGTGAAAAAAAAATTAAAAAATTACTAAATATTCTTGGATTGTTCTCATTTCAATGAAGAGCAATCCATTATCCAAAGAAGAAAAATTTCTTCAGTAGATTGTTTATTCATATTTAGATATTTTCAAACCAAAATGTCATCTTCAGTGTTAAAGTAAATTTGTGACAACGTCTGAAAATTAAATTTGAAATGAAACCTGTAAAAAAATTTACTGTAAGATGTTTGAATTTTTCCTTTAATGCATACTTATCATTTAATGTCATCACCTTATCTAAAGTTATTAAATGTTTAAATTTAAAAAAATCTATTTAAACACTGGGGTTAAAATAGCGCCAAAAAATTTCGATATGGGATGTCTGATTTCAGTACTTTTATTTATCCTAAATGAAGTTTGATGCTGATTGAATTTCTTTTTGAACTTTATGGCTTTTTGCAAACTATATAGATTTTTATGTTTTATGTTTTTGTAATGATATGGAATATAACGAGATTTATTTTTTTAAAGGAAGTTATATATTTCTATAGTTACATAATTTTTGTTTATCTTCATAATCATTTTTTTATTTTATATTGTCTAAATTTCCTGGATTTTTTGAATAAATGTTTATTCAAGATATTAGCATTATGATTCTTAAAGAAACCAATAAAATACCTACATAAAATGGAAATTAATATATAAAAAGCTAGAATATGTAGGTCATTAAATGTAATGTCTTTTATGCATACATGATAAATATATATATATATAAGTTTATAAAAATGAAAATTTAGATATATAAAAGAAATGAAATTTATAATCTTTGAAGACGTTGTCATTTTTTTTTTAAGACAATATTCAAAAAATAAAATTAAAAAATGAGAACTGGTAATATACATTTATATTTCATTCCAAATAAATAATTTTTAATGGTTTTAAGTAATTATATTACATTACTTGATTTAAAAAAGAAATATAGTCTATTAGTAATTAAATCTATGAAAAAAAATATCTTAAAATTGTAGTTAAATATATTCTAATAAGACACCCTTTTAAAAAGAATCTTTAAGTATACAATTACTGAATTTAATGGAAAAATTTTTAAAAAATATTTTTTGTCGTTAATAATAAAAAAAAATATAGACGACATGCATTTAACGGATGTCAAAATTCGTTGAAAATGCACCCTACTATGTCCCTAAACTTAACCTCTTTTTCGAATGTAACTCATCTCGACATGATACAATAGTTATAAAAAAAAAAACACCCTACCGATTCTAAATGATTGGATTCTCTGTATCCTTAGAAACAAGAAATTATGAATTTATTTGCGCGTTTAAAACTCAGTAAATTTAAAAATAAGTTATTTAAAATTTTTTGAAGATGAAACAATATTAAATTTTTTTTAATTTAATTATATAATTAATTTTTTAAGTTTTATTCCGCTGGAATTTTTGAAACATGGTTATTATTAGCGAAGAAACCATATTTTACATCAGTTAATTTATAATGTCTATGCTCTGTAAATTTACATTGAGCACTGGTTTGTAAAATAAAAAAATATATAAATAAGAACACCGGATTATATATCTTACTGTTCTTTCTTTTTATTATTATAATATATATATATATATATATATATATATATATATATATATATATATATATATATTGAACAATAAAAAAAAATTAAAAATTAAAATATTTTAGACACACTGGGTTGTAGATTAATATTCTTTCGTTTTTTTTTTTATTATTCCATTTATTTAGATTCCTCGACTAGTTTCGACCAAAATGGCCATCATCGGGAGGAGAAATATTTCTTGCTTGCTGGTAGCACTAAACTACATATATATATATATATATATATATATATATATATATATATATATATATATATATATATATCATACAATAGGACTGAAGATTACATTTGGTTAATTATCATTTTTACCTTGTAAATTGAAATAAAATTTACAAGGATTTTTCAAACCAGTTAATGGATGATAAATTATTGAAATAAATATGGCCAGACAGGAAGGAAAGAAAGGGAAGAAAAATGGAAAAAGAGAACAAATAAAAACTAGGAAGTAGTGTAAGTCTGGATATGAGCGGTAGTCAGAGGAGAAAGGGAGAAAAAATGACATATTTATTTTATACATAATAGCAATCAGAAGGTAGTTTAGACTTAAAGAAAACCTTCTTAAATCAATTTACAAAAATAATATATTAAATAAAGAGATCAATGTATTTACATGAAAGAGAGATAATTCAGAATTAAAGATATATTATAATAAACAATATACCAGAAAAAAAGATCATAAACCTAACTTCTCGAATAACACTCAATCTAGACTAATAAATCCTATTAAATCAGAGCCAGGATTAATCTCTAAAAATATTTTAAAAATTACTGATAGACTTGTGATTGCAACCGGGACCAATCATTGGGAGGATTCTTCTGGTACCATTAAATTCCCTGTACTGAATTTTTTTCATCTGTGAAACCGACTAGCTATCACAGACCTGGGATAGGCGAGCAAGTGAAGAATGTAACTTTATAATTATCGAATGAACGTCCACACTCCATGACCACACCCACCAAGGAGCTATGCAATTGTTGGTCCACTCTCACATATGGATCAAATTCATTATTTCATCTCATAATTATCAGGAAGTGTCAGTCATGGTTCGTTTCTTTGACAAAAAATAAATAGGTACCAATAATAATAAAAAGATAAACAAAATTTGAGCGAAAATAAAGCTGACATGAGCCAAATTTTCAACTGAAAAATTTTCTCCGCACTATTTTTATCTTCCCCAGATTGTCCCTCATGGGATTTTGGTGCCATTACAGACTTTTCGACACGAGCCATTACAGACTTGCATTTAGAGCCTGCCATGCTTTTCAACGACCCCTTTCGCCGCGGCAATAACAAATTGCTTCTTTGCGATGTTTACGATAATACTGGAAAGCCTGTTGGTAAGTATATTTATTATACATGAAATGTTATCCGAAATGTACAGAACGAGGTTTAAGAAGAAAAAAACAAAAAAACAACGGCTCCCTGTACCGCTCCAGTAAATACCTGACTCCTGATGCTGTCCTTTACCTTTACAAGAGCCAGATCGGGGCGAAAAAAGTATTCATACAATATATATCTTTAATATCAAAAGGCTTAAATTATCTTTATTTACATAATTCTTTGTAAGATTTTCTAGATTCTTCCAGTTATCTTATTACCGGAACAATCTCCGCACACAAATCATACATAATAATTATCATCATCGGGGAAAGGCAAGGAACTATCAAATTCGCAAAAACAATTGATCGTCAAACATTGGAAGGAAGGCAAAAACTATAGAAAAATAGCAGATATCCTGAATATACCATTTACTACTATTAGTTCCGTTATTGTATAAAAATGTGAAAACTGTTGACAACAAATCGAGATCTGGTGCAATACGCATGATTTCTCCCAGATCACTGAGAAGAATTCAGCATCAAATTCAAGAAAATCCAATGACTACTTGGAGAGAAAACATGAAGAATTAAAAGCGTCGGTTACGAAAAATAAGCAATGCACGTCATAAAAGAAAACTAAGATCGCATCCTCCAAGAAAAAAAACTCCACTACTATTGAAGAAACATAGGGATGCCTGGTTAAAATTTGTTCGTGAATCTAAGAATAAACCTGAATCATTTTGGGAAAGTGTTTTATGGACAGATGAAAGAAAAAATTAACTATTTGTGCGTAATTCAAGGATTCATGTTTGGAGAAAAGATAGCACAGTCTTTGCACCAAAAAAACACAATTCTTACAATGAAATGTAGTGATGGCAATATAATGGTTTGGGGATGTTTTTCTGCTAATGGTGCGCGTAATTTAGAGATGATAGAATGAATTCAAAAATATACCAAGATATTTTTGATTCTAATTTGTTTGGGTCAGTAGTAAAGTTTGGATTCCCAAATGAGGATAATGACCCTAAAAATACAGCTAAATCTACGAAAAAATGGCTTATTGAAAATAATTGTCAGTACACTCTATCTATTCAAGTCTGGAGACACTTTTGCAGTCTCCAGACATGAATCCAATAGAGGATTTGTGTCGTTTATTAAAAATTCGAGTTAATAAAAGTTTTCCGAAATACATCTTGGACCTAAAGAGAATATGCATAGAAGAATGAAGTAAAATACCAACAGAAACTTACAAATCATTGATTAAAAGCTACAGAAAGAGACTGATTGCTGTTTGATTAAGTATTAGATAGTCATTATAAAGTTTTTAGCCCCCAATTTTTTAAATTTCATATTATTTCATTAATATAACAAATTTGTCTGATTATAAAATTCTTTTATAAAATCTAACTATGCTAAATGAAAAAATTAATGGTGTACGAATATTTCTTTCCACCACTAGCAATATATATATATATATATATATATATATATATATATGTGTGTGTGTGTGTGTGAGTATGTATAAATTTGAACATATACATATATGTTTAAATATAAATATACGTATGTATTATATATATATTCATATATACATATATGTGTATTTATATATATATATATATATATATATATATATATATATATATATATATATATATATGCATATATGTATATACATACATATATCCATTCATATATATGTATATGTGTGCGTGTGTGTGTGTGTGTAACATTAAATATATGCGTTTATGCATGTATATATATGTGTATATATACAAGCCTATATATGTCCTAGGTAAGACGTTAAACTACATCCAACAGAAAGGCTCACCTCTTAAATGCTACTGTTCCCACATCCACCCTGACCCTGATGGTAGCACATGTTAGGCTTCCAGCTTGGAGTAAATAGTTTGCACCGGGACGTAAAAAATTTTAAGTTGGTGTCTGAGGGCGCCTTTGTCAAGGCAGACATCTAAGAGAAGGAACATTCTGATATAACACCTGCAGTGTCTATTACCTCCAATGATGTAGATTTATTCTTCTTTTTAGGTCAAGGTAGCAGTCGCTCAGACTGGGATTGAGTTCGTACAAAGCCTTTCCTCATTTATAAAAAAAGACTTCACGCACAGGCATTGCTTGAAGACTTCAGAACCTTACTGTCTTGACACAGAGGCTGGCCGTAACCATAAAAGGCAAACACATTCAATGAAGGTCTCTAACGATATTGGCATCAATAGCAAAATAAGGGGTCTATGAAAGGGTCCAGGCTGCAGTACCCAAGGATACCCGGCAAGTATCCCAGGATGCTGCAGCCTGGGCCCAGTCGTCATCCTGTTACTGCGAAACATCTGATATTCATTGGCTTACAGATGTAAGCCAATGAATATCAGATGTTGGAATATTCGGACGTCCTGAGTGTTCGTCTGCTCTCATAGCGAAGGAACTTCAAAGATTTGAAACAAGCATAGTGGCACTATCTGAGACAAGACTTGCTAATGGGGGTCAGTATTCTTAGTTTTCTGACAGCTACATCTTTTTTCTGGCGTGGTAGAGGGGAGTCGTTTTATGACTCGTGACTGTGCATGCTCCGACTATGGTTTCTTGCGAGGGAGACAGGGTCGCTTTCTATCTGGTATTATGTGAAGTGTTTCGAAGAATACCCTCAGCAGACAAGGTTGTCAATGCTAGGGCAGTGAGAGATTTTGAAACCTGGACTGTGATATGAAGGCATAAAGTAGGAAAGTGCAATAGCAATGGTTTGCTGCTGTTGCAGTTCTGCTGGCAGTTGGGTTTCCAGATCAGTAGCACCATGTTTCGTCAGAAGGATAAATTCAAGAACACTTGGATGCATCCTGGCTAAAAGCAATGACATTAATGATTAATATCGAGCGAAAGTTTGTTTTGCGATTGAACCGAAAATGATGGGTGAAGTTGTCAGTATTCCTAAACGGATGGATGCAGGTCGTCTGAAGGATGAGATGGTGAAAGAATAGCTTGTGACTGCATTGTGAAAACACATGGGATGCTTTCAAGCCGTCTGTTTATGAAGGCTTTGAGAAGGTGTTAGAGCATTGTGAACGTAAACATCGAGACTGGTCTGATGAGAATGACACTGAGATTTAGCTCTTACTGGATACTAAATCGAAAGCCTTAGATGCCGTGCTGAAATGTAGACAGACATCTGATAAACGGATAGACAGACATCTGATAAACATGAAAGATTGATGACAGAGTTCAAAGCCATAAAATCTGATGTGCAGCGAAAACTATGTAACATGCAGGATTCTTGGTGGAGGAACAAGGCTGATGAAATACAGCTTACCAATGACACAAAATTGCTGTACTATCTTCCGCATGAAGTGTATGGACCATCATGTTCTCGTATCACACTTTTGCGCTCAAAGGATGGTAAGGAGATCATTCGAGACCATGTGGATATTCTCTGCAGATGGAGAGAGCACTTTGATGAGTTACTGAATAGGAAATCTGATGTTCATCTAGAGTTTATCCAATAGACCGGTTAAAGAAGTTCTGGCAGATGCTCCCCCCCCCACTTGAGGAGGTTGAAGCTGCTGTCGAAAAACTGAACATTGGAAAGTCACCTGGTATCGATAGGCTTCAGGGGGAAATTTTCAAGTGTGTTGGCCCTAACATGATGAAACATTTCACTGATTTACTGCAGATGGTCTGGAGTGGTGAGTGTGTTCCACACGACTGGCGAGATGCATTAATGGTTGTGTTGTACAAAGGAAAGAGTTCAAAAGACGATTGCGGGAATTATCGTGGAATTGCATTAGTGTCTATCATCGGAAAAGTGTTATGTAGAATTATGTTGGACAGAATGCTGAAACACATTACTGATGACGTTCTACCGGAATCTCAGTATGGGTTCAGAAGTGGGCGTGGAACAGTGAATATGGTTTTTACAGCATGACAGTTACAGGAGAAATATGTGGAACAGCGAATGGATCTGTATCAAGTGTTTATTGATCGAACTAAAGCACTTGATACTGTGAATAGATCAGCTCTTTGGGAGATTTTGAAAAAGTTTGGTTGTCCTGACAAATTCGTATCTATATTAAGGCTCTTCCATGAGTATATGAATGCTGTTGTGAATTTCGATCATATACATAGATGTTGGATTCTCGATAGAGCTCCGCAGGCTGGTACATAACAGTTTTCTTTCGTGGGGAAACTGGCAGAACCAATTACAGTGGAAAGTGGTGTGAAAAAATGGAATATGCCAGAACTGCTTTGTATTTTGCTATGGTGTTCAACGATTGTTCTAATGGTGTATACATACACTATAGAACCTCCGGAAGGCTATTTAACATCAGGTGTCTAAGTGCAAACACAAAGGTCTTGATGAACCTAGTTCGAAATCTGCTTTGTGCTGATGATTGTGATCTTGTGGCTCATACAGAAACTTGTATGCAGCGATTGATGGGTGCTTTTGAAACAACATGCACAGCATTGGGACTACCAATCAGTCTAAAGAAGACAGTTGTTATGTACCAGCCTGAGGAGCTCTATCGAGAATCCGACATCTATGTATATGGTCAGAAACTAAAAGTGGTCGAGAGGTTTGTGAACTTAGGCAGAACTCTAAGCATGGCTGGAACTCTTGCGGATAAAGCAAAACGACTGATGCTTTTGGAAAACTAGAGAAGCGACTCCGGAGTTGCCGCGGGATCTCTTTATAGACAAAGTTAAAAGTCTATTATGCATGTGTGCTATCTGCTCTTCTCTATAACAGTGAAACTTAGACTACATACAGAAAGCACATAAAGCATCTTCAACGTTTCCACGAAAAATGCCTAAGGAGAATCCTTGGCGTTCGCTGACAAATGTATCTTATTGAAGTTGAGGTATTACAACAAGTCCAGACTCAAAGCATAGAATCGATCATTTTCCAGCTTCGATTAAGATGGAGCGGGTATTTAGTAGTCAGAATGGAGAACGAACGGCTGCCCAAGCAACTCCTGTATGGCGAACTCGTCGGAGGAAAGCGGCTGGCTCACAAACCGAAAATATAGTACAAGGATTGTTTGAAAATATCTTTAAGGAAACGTGTTATCGATGTTCTGATCTGGGAGAGCAAAACATTGGATCGGAGAAAGTGGAGGAGAGAGGTTCATGTAAGAAAGAATTTGTTTGAGAAAGAACATGTTGTACATGAAAAGCTGAAAAGAGATGTCCGGAAATGAAGCGAAAAACGAAATGGGTAATCAGGTTGGTTTCTGATGTGTTATATGCGATCGACTATATTTGACCCTTGCTGGTTTGAAAAATCACGGGAGAACGCATCAGTGCCACCTCAAAGCGGATTTCGCGTTACTTGATAATAGAACATGTAATGCGTGTGGAAAAGTTTGCAAAAGTGCAGCAAGATTAAATCGACATGTTAAAATACACGGCAACAACGACGCATGAACTGTTGTCAGAGATGTTCATGTCTGCTACACCCGTGTCAAGGAATGCATGTCTTTAGCTGGACTAAAAATCCACATTAGAGCAGCTCATCGATGAGACCTTTTACGGGTATTCAAGCAGTAGCAATGCTCGAATACGAGTTTGGAGCCATCATATATACAAGCAAAGTACTTTGATTTATTTCAACCATTTTTGTGTTGGTGCACTCGGAGTCTGCTATTTAATTTCATTGTGCATTGCACAGTGACAAGAAGAAGAAATAAGTAAATAAAATATCACTAGAGAGAGGGAGAAGAATATGAATCACCCTTTCCCCCCCAAAAAAAAACCCACTGAGGCCTAAAAAAACTCCTGCTTACAGAAAGAGAGCTACTTTGAAAGTACTGTCAAATAACATAGTCTGCTGACGACGTCTGATGAAAAATAGACACAAATCGAATTATTGCAAACAGTGAGGAACGATAAACATGTTTGCTTCCTTTTTGTCTCTGTCTATATTTCTGAGATGAGGTGTTATGTACACAATTTACATTATTCAGACTATTTTCCTTATCGTTGTTGCCATATTTGCCACGATGTTTCGACCGTTTTACGCTCCTGCCTTCAGGTGGTTGGAATGTAGAACTGAACCCTTTAATTTCGCTCGCTGGGGTAGACTGTTCTAGTTCCACATGCCATGTCTAATGGATGTCAGTTATCTCCTGTTAATTCCCCTCTCCAAGTTCTCCACTGCCTTAACCAGGTATTTGGGTCCTGTTACTGGATCTAACTATCGACTATATTCACTGTGCCATGTGTTCTTCAGGAATTAATAGGAGATAACTGACAACTGACATCCATTAGACCTGGCAGTGGTATTGAACAGTCTACCCCAGCGAGCGAAATAAAGGGTTCAGTTCGACATTCCAACCACCTGAAGAAGGCCGGAGCGTACAACGGCCGAAACGTTGGGATAAATATGGCAACAAAGATGAGGACAATAGTCTGAATAATATAAATAGTGTTTTTTTTTTTTTGTCAGTATATTTCCTGTATATAAGTTTTCGATTTAGGATATTATGGTAAATATTTGCTCCTTGCTCTTCCTCAAATTGTTTTAATAATTTTGTACATATTGGACAGGGTGAGACTAAAGTTGTGCACCATAGGGTTTAGTGGATAGGTTGAAGAGGTCCTGTTGAGTGGCTTCCGAGGACAACAGACCTCACACATTTGGATTTTTTTTGCGGCCATTTGAAACCAGTTTTTTATCAGAATAAAATGACAGAAGAAATTCTCCGACATGTTAATGAATCACGCAGGCTATGAATCATGAAATGGGTTTTGAAAAAGACAGAGGACATTTTGAATAATACATATAACAACTCGTAAATAACATTTTCATGCCTAGTTATAATTTTAATAAATTATCCCCCTGAGGGCATGACTTGTGCCTCATTCCGTATGTTAATCTATACTTTGTTAATATGTTTAATTTCTTTATAAAATGAAAATACAAAAATTATACAGAAAACAGGTCAACGAAGAGATCTGAAGAATATAACATTATGAAAAAAAAAGAAAAAAAGAAGGTAGAATTAAGAGTTCAAATGATTTATGTTGTAGAGGTATCCCACTTGTATTTTAGTGAAATTCTGCCAACGACCGCTAGATGACGTTGACAAAGCAATATACAAAGAACGGGACTTAAAAGCCCACTCTTGCTTTTTTCTCTTAGCTCCAGTTTTTTCTCTTAGCTCTCCTTAGAGAGAGGATTTGTTTCATTTCCCCTTCGAGGAACCCTGTATTCACCAGTAAACCATATGTTACTTTGAAGACAGTAGTACTCAGTGTAAAAATGTCCTCAGCTTAATTGATTTCACTCAGGTGTACTTAATAATTCTACCAAACGAAGGACTCTAGTCGAATGTAATGTCCCACAATTCTACATGAACTTTGCGCACTTGTACGAATAAGGGCATACACACACGCACACGCACACACATCTTAATTCATCCATTTTTTGTCTTTACTATTTAGTTTACTCACTGACTAACAATCGGAAAAATGATAAATTAGCCACAAAAGTATCTTTTTGTCTTCATTTTCTTTAAGACGTTATTATCGCGTACTCGCTCCGTCCATGGCCTTCTCATGGTATCCTTCTGTAGATACAGTTAAAAAAAGGAAAAAAAAACATTTATGGACTTAACCGTAGTTTGTTTGTCTGTATGTGCGTGTGTATATTTGTGTTGTCCACGTAGTCTGTTTAAAATTAAGTAGTCTGTTTGCCTGTGAAATAAATCTTTGCTAGTCACAAGTTCTGTATTATAACTACTACATTTCGGAACAAAAAGATGACGAGGGACTGATTCTTTTCCCTTTATACCGCCGATTACTACGCTTTCTAGAGAGCGTTCTGGCAGACGATTTGTGCAATAAGTGAGTTTTCAAAAAATATTTTTTTCTAAATATTATGTTGTTCTCTCCGATTTCACAGAGTCAGTCCCTTGATTCGTAAATATTTTGGAACACTCCACCATTGTTATAATAATTTCACCAGCACAAGGGAGATAACTCTAGTTAAGCAAAATGTTAGACATTACAGAATAAAACAAACAAGCACCAATTGGGGTGTAATTTGTAGGATTTAACGTCGAAATATCAGTAATTTTAAATGAAAATGATTTTCTTAGTTCGTGTGATTTACTTTTGGTAGATCAATGACTTAATTTTAAAGCTTTGAACAAACACGGCGTAATTTCAGAGCGAGGGATTTTTAAAAAGTCTTTTGACAGAAATAGTGGGAATTATTTGACTTTTTTTTTTGTTTTGTTTCACCAGCGGCGAACAGAAGAAATTCATGCGCCGAAGTCATGAAACTTGTTAAAGACGAGGATCCTTGGTTTGGAATCGAACAGGAATATGCCCTTCTTGATTCTGATGGTTATCCATTTGGTTGGCCCAAGAACGGTTTTCCAAAACCGCAAGGTATGACATATCATTTCCCTCTGAGTTGTTTTCGTTTCAGATTTGTAAAAATCTTCATTTCACGAACGATTGATGACCCACTCTTTTCTCTTTATATATAAAAATGCTAGGATTGACTAAGAAATCGGAGAGCCGAGTTCGAATTCGAGTCGGCTTCATTACATTTACTTACGTGCAAATAACCTTGGGAAAGTTATGTATCAATATCTTCTCCTTCCAGCTATGTATTAAACGGTAGAACTTGTATCTGGATTGTTATTTGTAGTATCCGCACCCACAAAGGATTTTTCTTACAATTCGTAAATATATTTCGGTTTTAAATAATCCATAAATGGTTGAAAAGCCGTAAAAACAAACGAGTTATCAATCAATCGATTCTCCTTCATCAAGGCTGCAGAGTGGATTAAACGAGTATTAGTAGTTGTAGTAAGAACAAAACAATATAAAGAATAGTTTTCCTTTTTCCAACAGTGATAGACTATCTATGAGAGAAACGTTAACTGCTAATATTGTTCAGCCTTGTTTCTTTATTCAGGTATATGTGAAATTCCACAATTACTTCAGAATTGATTTTATTTCCTATTGTAAATGGTTGCGATGTTTCTTTCCTAGGTCCTTACCACTGTGGGGTTGGTTGCAACAAGGCGTTGGGGCGTGACGTTGTGGAAGCTCACTACAGAGCTTGCCTTTATGCCGGTGTGAAAATCTGTGGATGCAATGCAGAAGCCATGCCAGCACAAGTAAGTTTTATTTGCCTGCATTCGACATTCTTGACCTATTCAAATTTTATGTGAATCTCTCGGATAAAGCATTCTTATCAACTGTGAGTTTTTCATTACTATTTCTTTCATCGGAAGTACATAAAAATACAAAGATATGAACGTGCCTTCAACCTCAACAACGAGGAGACCACACGGGAGCTGGAGTCTCTTTCTGGATTGATAATTGGTGAGCACAATCTTAATAGCATACATGGATGATATTGTGTTAACGATAAACACAATAAGAAAACTACAGGGACCCCTAGACAAGATAATAAGAGAAAGAGAGATGGAAGGACTATCACTAACTATGAAGACAGAATACATGTTTGTCAGCAAGAGGAAAAACCGAAGATGGGATCTATGAATTGGAGAATTGAATCCAAGATGTTTAACTATCTGGGAAGTGTTTTAACAGAGGATGGAAATATAATTTGGAAATCCGAAGGCACATTAGAATAGCAAAAGATACTTTGCAAAAATAAAACAAAATAATAAGAAACAGGAAAATTTCGTTAGAAACAAAGAAAAGACTGCTATATGGCAGTGAATGCGGGACAATTTCATCACAGATTAAGAAGAGACTTGTGGCAACGGAAATGTGGTTCTACAGAAGGATGCTGAGAATTCTATGAGCGGAACATATAAGCAAGAAGGAAGTTTTAAGGAAAATAGAACAATATGGTCATGTATACTTATAATCAGAAAGAGACATTTCTGGGACACATGTTGAAAAAGCTAGGAAAATTTGCAATCCCTCGGCATATTGAATGTAAGAGGGGCAGTAAGAAAATGTGATTAATCTACCTGAAGAACTTGTGTAAGTGGGTAGCAGAGTGGGAAGGATGATAAAAATACAAAACTTACAAGCTACAAAGGCTAGAAAAATATGTAGAGTCATGATCATTCAATTTCTGAAGGGACATGGCACAAGAAGAATTTACAATAACTCCCTAATAATTGTTCTATGAAAGCTTGAGAAAAAAAATCAAAAAAACAAAAAAAAAAAAACAAAAAAAAAAACTTGCTAATATTAGAATCTTAGGCGCAAGACGTTGTGATTCTATTTTTCTTATCTGTTGTTTTTTCTTGTTCGTGTTGGGTTTTGTTCCTTGCTTATTATTACAAAGGTGCTAAGAACTCAAAGGTTATTTAAAATGCTTGAAAAATATTAAGGTTTCTTTAACGTCGATCCAAAATTTTTTTTTTTTTCAGTGGGAATTTCAAATTGGACCATGTGAAGGCATTGAAGCGGCTGACCAATTGTGGATTGCTCGTTACATTCTAAATCGTGTATCGGAAGATTTCGGCATTGTTATCACCCTTGACCCCAAACCAATAAGTGGAGATTGGAATGGTGCTGGTGCTCATACAAACTTTAGTACTGCTGCAATGAGAGAAGACGGTGGTCTTAAGTGAGTAGTCATTTTTTTTTAACTAAAAGATCACTAAAAGTAGAGGATTAGATTAACCACAAGTTGTGAATATTACAACGCCAACTTTACTCCGTTTTCGCTATGTCGCAACTATCCACGCTGCAATCTGTTATCTGCTATGTTGCATCAGGTGTTGTGCAGACAGTCCATTGGTTATCATTTTATCTGAAAACGAATACAAATCACAAGGCCGTTCTGTTGATAACAAACTACCATTTATTTTTCACAATTACTACACAGTCCCGTTTTTTGTTTGTTTGTAGCTGGAGCTAACGCTAATTGCTTCACAAAGATTCCCTACTTTTCAGACCCTTTACTATGACCTCCTTCTTTTATGTGCCTTCATGACGTAGGCGATCATGGCTCTCCATATCTTTCTGTCCCTTGTAACTCTTAATAAGTTTTGTCTTTTTGTTGTCTCCTAAACCCTGTTCTGCTATTAATTTACTCAAGCTCATCAAGTATGTTACGCACTGCCTTCTTCTGTCCTCCTTGCCCTCAATATGTCCTGTAAGTATCATGTTTTCCAAGCCCTCCTTCCTCATTATGTGTCCCATAAATTTCAACAGTCTCTTTCTGATGTTAAGTATTAGTTTCCTTTTTGTTTCCATTTTCTCTAAAAACTCAGGTGTTCGGTCCATGGTATCCTTAACATCTTTCTGTACAACCACATTTCTGTTGCTTCAAGTCTCTTCTTCATCCTTTGAGGAGATTGTCCAGCATTCGTTGTCATTTAGGAGGACAGATATCACACAGCAATTCAGCACTCTATTCTTGGTTTCTAACAAAATTCTTCTGTCTCTTAACACTGTTTACCTTTTGGAATTCAACTTTGGCCATCCCAATACGTCTTCGTCTGTTATTAAAACTTTTCCCAGATATTTAAATTTCTGTACTTGTTTGAGTTTAGTATCCTCGATTTGTAATTTGCACTTTGGACTCATATTTTTGCTGTTAACCATGCATTCAGTCCGCTATAGTAGCGACTTCTTTCGTTTCCTTTTTTCTTTAAAGTTCGTTCTTATAAACTTGGTAAAAAGAAGCTCTGTATCTCTAACGGCCACTAAACTAAACGGAACTTACTGACAGATTGAAGCAGCCATCTTCCAGTGGACTAATCTATTTATAAAGCTTTCGGACATAGGAATTGTCAAGTCAGCTTTCTTTTTTTTTTTTAAGAGAAAGAATAATCTCTTGACTGAAAACAAATGCACTGAGCTTGGTTGGCTGGGTCCGCGAGATAAGCCATAAAATATATTTCTTTAAATTTCTGAAGTAGTTTCCAGCGATGAGAAATACTTGTGTATTGGATGAATAGAAAAACCTTCGAATCATTTTTGTTCGTTCGGTGAGTCAAATATTCTGTCACGTACACACCCTTTTAAATTAGGAATACGGGTAGAGGTCGGGGTTTGCAATAAGTTAAGGTTTTAATAGAGGGGGTGGCTGGAAAAAAAAAACATTCTTGAATAAACAGGGTTTTTTTTAAATTGTGGTCCCTCCACAAATAAATAAACAACGTTCCCCCCCTTTATTCTCTCTGCTTTACTACTGCAGAGTTTGATCTAGATCAGCGCAAAACTAAAAATCAAAAACTTAGTAACATCTCTTTCCCTATAAAAAATCGAACTGTTCCTCTTGCACTGAAATAAGTCTTAGGTAAATTTTGTTTTAAACTAAGAGAACATCAAAATTAAGATTTAAATATTTCAATGGAAAGATTATTTGTTGCAAAAAAATTACGTGAACGAATGTCCAACATGTATTTGTTAACGATATTCAAATTATTTACATTTTTATATATATTGCTAGGTAAGCGTTCGACCTCTGTTCCTTTGGTGTCCATTTTAGGTCTGGTTTTTTCTCTTCTTTTTGTCCCATTCTACTTCTTCCTCTTCTAACTCATCCCTCTCTACTTCTTCCTCCCATTTTCATTCTACATTTTAGGACTCATTTCTGTTACGTCAATAATGGGCATCTCTGACATAAAAAAATTAAAGGCATTTCCTCATCCGTATAAAAATTCTTCTCCTTGGGATCTTATTTGGTGGTGGCATGAGCTAGAACACTGTTCCAGCGAATTTTCTTTATTTAATATTGCAGTATTATGTCCTTTCTGCATAATAAATTATTTGTTGATTTCAGGTTGCATATTCCTATTTCTTTTGTACCACATCTTTTGATTTGTGGCATATGACATAGTCAAAGGGGACCTTAATTGTCTGCCCCCATTAAGGCAGATGGACTTTCGGCCTGCCTGCATGTGGAATTGTTCTGTCTTCCTCTTCCAATAACTTCTTCCTCTAGTCTTGGTAGAAAAGCATCGATTTCCTCCTTCTGTTGCTAGAAAGCATGCTTTATTTTATGCCCTTCTTTACCGTCTGGACCATCCTTTCCGCTGTCCGACTTCCTCCTTTTGCAAGCATGCTTTTATGCCCTTCTTTACCATTACTTGGCCCATTACTTTGAGGGTGATAGGGAGGGGTCTTGTAAAGGTCTGCATCCTATTTTTTTAGCCATTCATGCAAATCAGCATCCACAAATTCTGGTGCATTATCAGTCATCAATGTTCTTGGTGTCCCATTCCTCGAAAATATTACTCTTAATATTTGTTTTACGGTGGTACTTTTTTTTTTATCAGGTACTCTCACCACTTCAGGCCAACCTGAATATGTGTCTACTAATATTAATAATAGTCCTATCCCATTGACATAGGCATGGTCCATGTGTACTCTGCTCCATGGTTCTACTTCTCAGGGCCATACATGTATTTTCTTTTGCTTAAAATTCCTGAGTTCTGTGCATTTTTTGCATCTTTTACGTAGTCTTCTACGTCTCTTGAGTACCCTGGCCACCACGCTTCCAATTTTAATCTTCTTTGCGTAGCTGCCACTCCACAATGTACGTCGTCGTGTATACTTTTTATAACCTGTCTCCTCTGTGTTTCTGGGGGAACTACCAAGTCTCCATTACATATTATCCCGTTTTCTATAGTCATTTTATGTCTGATTTCTTTGAATGGTCTTTCAGCCAGTGAACAATTTCCCCAGCGATTCTGTTTTATCCTCGACATTATTCTATTTAACACTGGGTCATTTGTAGTTTCAGTAGCCATTTTATCTACAGATATTACATCGGTTTCTACAAGGTGCAAGAATGTGTCTTCAAATTCCTCGTCGTTTTTGTCTTTCTCCTCTCTATAAAACCTCAATCTAGATAAGGCATCAACGTGCGGTATCGTATTCCTTTTAACATATTCAATGTCAAAGTCGAACGCCATCAGTCTAATCGCCCAACATAATATTCTGGACGTTGTAACTTTCGGTAGCTCTTTTCTTGGCTTGAAAATAAATTCCAGTGGTCTGTGATCACTTTTCAACAAGAATGTTTTTCCCATCAAAAACTGTCTTGCTCTATCCATTGTCCACACTATGGCTAGTGCCTCCCTTTCTATATTCGAATAATTGTGTTCAGTTGTTGTTAATCTCCTCGATAAGTACATTATGGGGTGCCCATTTTGTGACAAAATACCAGATATGGACTGCTCACTAGCGTCAGTAGTTAGAGTTATGTCCTTCTTAGGGTCAAAAATTTGTACTATTGGCTTTTTTGCCAGAATCTGTTTTAAGTTTTCAAAGGCTTTCTGTTGGTGTTCTAACCAAATGAATTCCACATTTTTTTTTCTTAACTTTAGCAAATGGTTCTGTCAACTCATTATATTTTGGTACATATTTTCTATAAAATTTACCAAACCTAAGAAGGACTCAACTCTTTTTTTTATTTTTCGGTGTAGCAACTTTTAGAATTTTCTCTATTAGTACTTTATCTGGAGATCCCTTCCTTTGATATTGAGTAACCCAAAAATGATATTTCATTACTGTTGGTTACACACTTTTTGTATTTATTGTCATACCAGCGTCTCTTAGCCGGTTCAGTATATTTTCAGTTTTTTCTTTAAATCATCTTCATTTAAATCTCCAACACATATATCGTCTTGATAACAGATGGTATTTTCAACATTTCCTATTACTTTTTCAATAGCTTTTGAAAAAATTGCACTTGCCGTTTTTATGCCACACAGCATTCTTTTCCACCTTAACAGGCCTATAGGTGTGTTTATGGTCGTCACTTCTTTAAAATTTTCATTTATCGGTATTTGGTGGTAAGCTGATTTTAGGTCTATCTTCGAAAATACTTTCATTCCAGCAAGTTTATGTAAAGCTACTTCTACATTCGGAATAGGGTACGAGTCAGCACAAACTTTATGATTCACCCCTATTTTATAATCTCCACAAATTCTCAGGTCACCATCTATTTTTTTTCAATACCACAATGGGTGATTCCCATTTACTTCCTCCTGGAGGGGCAGGTTCTAATAAGTCTTCCTTTATTAGCTTTCGCAATTTAGCTATGACCAACGGTAATAAATGCACTGGTATTTTTCTCGCTTCGTAGTAGGAGGGGGAAACGTTTTCTTTTAATTTCAGGCTAGCTTCATAATTTTTTAATTTTCCTGTTTTTTCTATTTCTATCTCATCAATCAACTTCGTTGAATTTATTTTTAACACGTCATTCCCCAGTAGTCCATGCGTTTTTCGGCAATTTGTAACTATAATGGGTACTATTTCATATTTTTCTTTTAGTTCTATTGAACCTTCAAAGTAACCCATAATTGCTATAATCGAGCCATCAAACTGACGTAATTGTACGTTGTTTTTTTTTTAAAAACGGTTTTCCCATTTTTTCCCACAAATTTCTGGGTACTATCGTGACCTCACTACCTGTGTCGATTTGCATTTCGACAATACAGTCGTTGATTTTCACTTTTATTTTTGTATCTCCGTTCTTAGATCCAGTATTTTGTATATTATCCTTTTTTACATTAAAAATCTGTCTATTTTCATCCTCTACTCTTTCCACATTTTTCGTTTTACATACTTCTTTGAAGTGATTTTTTTTAAACACTTTGAACACGTTTTTCCAAAGGCTGGGCATTTTTCTTTTTTCATTTGATGAATTTTTCCACAGTACGCACAATTTTTTCTTTTTGTTTGTACCGTATATGTTCGAGCCATTATTTCTTCGTAGGATTTATTTTTATTTTGGTTGTAGGTATGTATTAATTCCTGCTGTTGTATAAATTCTATACACATATTCAAAGGCATGTTTGTAAGTTGTAACTGTTCCATTAACTTATATCTATGTGCTGAATTATGCATACCTTCAATTAATCTTGGATTAATTCTTCTTCCGTTGTCTGCTCTCCTGTTCCTAGTTTTTCGAATTCACAGTATTTACTCGCACTTCTTAAGCGGTGTAAATATTTTACTATCGGTTCATCCACTTCCTGCTTCATTGCCATAAACTTGGTCCTTTCTGCAATCACCAGTCTTTTCTTTGGCCTCATGTTTCCCTTAATAACCTGACTTATTTCTTCGAAAGTCATTTCTTCTAGTTCTCGAGGGTAAACCATTGTAGGGATAAACAAGTCGGTGAAACCACTTTTTGTAGCAATCCTTCATAATTCGCTTCGACCTCTGTTCAACCAGCATATGGTACCTGCTCATAAACAAGTCGGTGATTTCATTTTCCCTCCTCTGAAGATTTTTTGTTTTGTTTTTCATCAATTAACATTGATATAAGAATTGTCCTTTTTATTGTTCATCTTTACATTTCTAGCCATTATCAAGTATGTGTTTTAGAATGAAATCCACGTAATCTGTGGAGTTCGGTTTGGGTCTTCTAGTGGGCGACCTAAATCTTATCCTATCGGTCAGCATATAAAATATATATATATATATATATATATATATATATATATATTATATATAACTATTTGGCAAACATGGATGAACGTGCCTGCAGTTTCATGACATCGTTTTTTTTACTAACGTCACTCTACGTCAATGTTTGTTTAAAAAGCGGTGATTAGAATTAGAATAACATCTAAGAACATGATGTAAATTATACTTTTTTTTTCTTTAAAATTTAAAACAATAATATTAAACACTATTTATTTATTAGATTATCTATTTACAAGACTAATTTTATATTTACAACATTCTAAAAACTAATACTAAAATTAATGCAATACAATATTTATCATTTACCAATTTATAAAGAAATAAATTGTTGTGGAGTTATTTCGCAGTGGAGGATGGTATTTGTACTAAATCGGTCCTAAAATAGGTTCGACGTACAAAACGTTAGGAACTTGATATAATAGGTATTACGCGGAGTAATCTTGTCGCTGACTACTTTCGTATTCGACTAACTGTCAACTACTGTCGTCTGACATCGACGCTATTTAGTAACTGCTCCACGCAGTCACATGTGGCACAAGGCCGAATTTAATGTGGGGTTCCCGAGCCCGTAAGCTCGGCCAAAAAATCCCAGTAGACCCCGCATAAGCGGGATCGGGTCTGTCTAGCTCCCCGGACGAAACTCTTCCCTTCGGCATAGCCTCGTCCGGGTTCCTCTCTGCCCGAAGGCAGAGAGTTCGACTGTCGTCCGACATCAACTAGTGTTTAGTCACCCCCCCCACCACGAGGGTATCATGTGGCACAAAGGCCGGTTTAACGTGGGACCTCTGGAGCCCGTGGGCTCGGCCCAAAATATACGCTTTGAACCCGTATAAACGGGTTCAGGGTCGGTTTACCTCCCCGAACGATACTCCGTCCTTCGGCGTAGCCTCGTTCGGGTTCCTCCCCGCCCGAAGGCAGAGAGTTCAACCGTTCAGCCGGTCGTCCGACATCGACTGACCCTTGTTTTTCTTACTACTCCTACTATTAGGCGGGAGAGTCTATTAACATAAATGTGAAAACAATTATTTATAAATTTATAAACATTTACTAAAGTATTAAAATATGTGAATCAACTTTAAAGAAATTCCTTATTATTTAGCATTTTATAAATTTTGAATCAATTAGCCGATATTTTGTCAACAATTTCAATAAATAGTATAATAAATAAATGGTGTAAATAAACATTCAAATAAATAGTGTTTATTAATTTTGTTGTCAATTCTCAAGAACAAAAAAAAATATCTAAATTCAGTTTCATATGTTTAGGTTTATTACAACTCCAATCATCGCTTCAATAAACATTAACGAGTAGTGAAGGTAGTTAAAAAAATGTAGTATCATGGGAAAAACCGTCTTTTTGAAACTCTGTCTCATTAAAGACACGTTTATCCATGTTTGCCGACGACTAATTAATTTCTTTTTCCTTTCTTTGTTTTTATTTTCTTTTATAAATATTAATATAGTGCATTTTATCAGATCACATTCAGTATGAATATCATACACTTTAGTAGACCTGTGTTGTTGTAGATCACATTATATATGTAGACCACACATTAATCAGGCAACAATAAACGTCGATTATTCAATAAATACTGATAAAACGTGTTTACTGAGAATCATTTGGCTTTGTTTTTTTTTCAGAATCATTGAAGAGGCCGTTGAGAAATTGAGAAAGAAGCACAAAGAACACATCATGGTTTATGATCCCAGTGAAGGCAAAGACAACGCAAGAAGACTAACTGGCTTACACGAGACATCAAACATTGACGACTTTTCGGCAGGGGTAGAAAACCGTTATGCTAGTATCCGTATCCCAAGACGAGTGGCTCGGAACCGCAAAGGTTACTTCGAAGACAGGCGACCAGCATCCAACTGTGATCCATATTCTGTCCTTGAAGCACTCTGCAAGACAGTTCTCTTAGAGTAGGGAGGCAAAAATCGGTTTTGCCGAGAGTGAAGTTTGAATTGCATAAAAATTAATTTTGATATACCTTGATATTTTAATATAAGACTAGTTCATTCGTAAAAAGCGGGGGAAAAGTGGAAAAGATATAATTTTAGCCTTTTTTAGATCTTCCTTCGACCGGGGCACTTATCAGAAAAGAAAAAAAAAATTAATTTGTTATCGTTTAAGAAAGGGGATACTGTTCATGATATCGATACAGTGTAAAATCGATCCCTGACTTTTACAGAGTTATCGGAACCTAGATGTTTCTTTACAAATGTCATGTTCAAAGCTGTGCTTACTCCGTACGAAAACGGACCTTTTTTTTATTTTACAAAAAGATTTCTTTTAAATCAAGAACAAATGGATAGATAAACTTTTAGGTGTTTTGTGTTAAGAAAATAGTTTAAACTAGCAATTTTGTGGTGAAATAGTGTTTTCTTTCATCTTTTTGAAGAAAGATTTATTGTATTAAAAAATGTATACTTTTTGTAGTGTTACATTTTCAATTAAAAAATATATAAATTAACAAAAATATAAAAAAATTATGCAGACATTAAATATGTAAATAAAAACAGAGTGCAGATAACTCTGTAAAAGTCAGTGATCGATTTGACATTGTCTCGGTATTGAGGATCTCCTTCTAAATCGATATAAATAAATCTATATTTTTCGTATCTGACAAGTGTCACAGCTTAAGCAAGACCAAAGGAAAGCTAACATGCAAAAATTATTGTAACAGAAAATTTTTCCATCTTTCTTTTGACGAGTGGACCACTTTATTTAACTAGTGTAATATCTTGTTTCTTCTGAATTAATTTCTGTTAAGAGTTTCACTTCTGGATTGACAATACTGTTTATCTTACATCTGACTAGCCCCAAACCCTAACAACATAATATCAACTAACATTCAATGGAAGACGTATACTACATATTTTACATTTGTTTCAGGAACAATTCTGCAGTGCAAATTCATAACACGTTATATTTACTTATGAGCATGATAAACTAATAAAATAATCTGGATAAATAATTTGTGTCTATTTGAACTGATTGTAAGACGTACATTTTTTTCTGAAAAATAATCCCAAAAAGCTTTTGTACAAAGTTGAGTTAATTTTTAGGTAAATCACATCCATAATCTGCCGCAGTTTACAATAATACACCAAACAAATCTACTTGTCCAGAATCTATAATAATATTATTTACTCATTTTCTTTGATTTCTGGCGTTTTACATTTCTTTCGGGTCCCGCCCAGGACCTAAGGTTAGAAATGGCGTCATGACACTTTCACTGACAAAAAAAAAAAAAAAAAAAAATTACATAGATAAAGCCCTTCGTAAAGTGTGGGCTGTACTTGTCAGAACAATTTTTTGTATCTCCTTGAGGCATGGACTTCCAGGAATCCCTTCAATTAGTCTACTGCAATCTTTTCCAACCAGTCCTAGGGCTCCAACTACAACAGGGATTGTTGATGTTCCCATATGCCACATTTTTGAGATTTCTATTTCAAGGTCCTTGTATTTTGACAACTTTTTGAATATCTTCAAAGATACATTGCAGTCAGCAGGGACTGCCATATCAATAAGGAGGCACCGTTTTTTGTTTGTGGTCTTTAATAACAAATATCTGGGCGGTTGGCTTTGATTGTTCTGTCAGTGTGTATTGTGTAGTCCCATAGAATTGTAACAGGTCCTATCTCCGTAACCGGGTCTGGGTGGTGTTCATACCAGTTTCTTTCAGTTTCCTTCCCGTAGAAGTTGCAGATTTTCCAGTGCAGATATTGGCCCAATCTGTCATGCCGGGTTTTATATTCAGTGGGTGCCAATATCGTGCAACCTGATACAAGATGATCAATCGTTTCTGGATATTTATCACAGAATCTGCATTTTGGGCTGACACAATATTTTAGTATATGTGCTTGATAATTCCTAGTTAGCAAGCATTGGTCCTGCGCAGCAAGGATAAAACCTTCAGTTTCAGCTTTCAACCCTGCACTACGTAGCCACTGATGGGTACGGCTTTTGTCTACGTCAGCTTTTTTTGGTACGGGCAGAGTATTGGCCATGAAGCGGTTTATCTTGCCATCGCTTCTGTATCTGGTCGGTTGCATTCGTATTTTGCTATTATTTTTTTTAAACAAAATTTTGCAGTTTTCAGCCGGTGTATTATGTTGTAGCTTAACCAATCTCTACGCCCATTTGAAACTCCATTTTGATTTCTTGTTGGCTTCTTTTCAGGATATAGGCTGGCTAAAGACGCTTTTTTGTTTCATGTTCATTGACAGTGGATTATTCATCATCCAGTCTTCTGTTTTTCCAAATATCTTTGGAGGCCAACCAAACCAGGAACAATTTTTTTTTTAGGACAGTTCTAGTTTTTTTTAATCCTCTTTGTATTTCCGTTTTTTTTTTGGGCACATACAGATTCTTCAACATCATGTTTTTGGGATGATGCATGCGATGCCAAAGTGAGAAAGCTTTTTCGTTTTGGCGTCCATTTGATAATAATTTCAGCTTCATATTCCAGTTAAGCGATGATAGAAAATTCCCTGAGGATGAGAACCACTGGGACAGCCAATATGTTTATGGATGATATTCTTTTTTTTTTTTTTTCTATAGTATTGGCAGGTCTTACCATACAGATATTAACCCTTTCAGTACTCTTTTCTTATTTTTTTCTTCATTGTATCGGTTGTATGAACATCTCCTTATATTATAATTATTATTAGGTACTTATGATTTGTGCTTCATGTTGCTCCCAGTTATCCTTTGTAGAGACAAAATCTAAATCTGGTCCCTAGACCCTATCTGTAATTGTCATTACCTTTCACTTTTCTTAGTGTATAGGATTTTCGATTAGGGCGACCTTTTCAAATTTTATGTTGATATTACCTGGGACAATTTTTAGTAAAACTGTCATTCCTGGAGACCCAGAGTTTTTACAATATGAAAATACAGGAATTCCATTCAAATTGTATCATGTTTCGATAAAAAGCTCCTGTCATTTCCGATAATATTTGTATTGTTATTATTATTATTATTATTTGTTTTTTTTTATACGAAATTTAATTTGAAATTACTGTTGTTAAACAAATAACATGTAAATATTTTTAATAAATGACAACAGTATAAGTTTAAGAATTACGAATGCGAAATAAAACATGATACTTCAACCAAATAAAGATTTTCAATGTTACAAGGAAGCGATCTTATATATATGAATATGATATAAACATTTTATATATCAGAACAATATTAGGAAAATTAAGGATAAAGTGTACATTTTTTTTGTGAAAATTTTTACTTTTCCAAGTAAAAAATTAAAGTGTTTGCATCACACACATTAACACACACACATTTCACACACACACACACACACACACACACACACACATTTACAAAAAATGTGAAAGATATCCCTGAATGCATTTTTGAAATTAAAAGAAATAAAATATTGATGGCGTGTTTTCAAAAAGTTAAATAATATTAAAATATTTATGACCATTTTAACCAAGAAAATTAATATCAGCATTATTATTATTATTATTATTGACAAGAGAGCAACACGTAAACAAAATGAATGATATTGCAGAGAAATACGAAGCCCTAGTTCTTTCTCATATCTATTATCTTAAATATATTATCTATCAGAAGTTCGTGCCAAGGAAAAACAGTCTTGGGTTAAAATAATCAACTTTTAGAATCGAAGATTTTATATTTAGGTAGAAAAATTTAGATATAGATATAAATAGATTTAAAGATGGATAGATAGATCGACATTTTCCCGTCGCTCACTAGATAGATAATTAAATTCCAGTTATTCGAGAAAGAGGTCATTAGATAAAAAGATCTCTCTGAGAAGAATAAATAATTACAATTGTATGATAGATAGATAGATGATAGATAGATAGGAAATGAATAGGAATGATTTGTTTGAGAGACCTGAATTTCTTGCCAATAAAGATAGATTTGATTGAATATATAGAGACAGACATATCAGAACATTTAAGAAAACACACCCATATCAACCATTTTTGATGCATTTTTTAACCAAATTGACAAATTTTGCTTATTATATTTAAAAAATTTTAAAATGACTGAATAATTAGAGATTTTATAAGGACAGAAAAAATAAAATAAATACATCAAGAAAAATTAAAACAGTTTTGATTTGTAGTTTAGAATTTTTCGTCTGTTTTATTTCTTAAAAAATATGTTTAGAAAAAATTTTCACGAATAAAAATTATATATATATAATATATATATTATATATATATATATATTATATATATATATATATTTTATATGATGTATTTATGAATAGATAGATTGACTAATATATATATATTTATATATATATATATATATATATATATATATATATATATATATATTACAAATAAAATTAAGAAAAACCCTGAAATTTTTTACACAGTAATGTTTAAAAAAAATATATTTCATATATATTGTAAATATAAGTATTCACTATAATAATGTTTTTCATATTATTTATTTATATATATATATATATATATATATATATATATATATATATATATATATATATATATATATATATATATATATATATATATATATATATATTTTTTTTTTTATATTTTGGTTTACATTATTCTTTCATTTTTCTTTTATGTAATTTATTTACAAATGGACAAAATATATAGTAATATAGTTATATATTTATCACAGATAATGTTTATGTTCTTCAAATTTTTCCTTTTATTCTATAGGTATTCAAAGTTTTTTTTTCTTATCTCGAATGCGAATATATATATATATATATATAAATGTGTCAGGATGTAATATTTAGTGAACGAGAGACGGGTTTAAAAAAGCCGAGTATTTTTTTTATTTAAAAAAAGACTCTTTAGTGCAGCCTTGTTTGGGGAGCCGAATCAGAGAAACATAATCATTCCGCGATTTTTTCCTGACGTAAGAAAAAAAATAGTTCCCACGTG